TAAGACCAACTAAGCCTTTACCGTGGCAAAATTGCAAAAAATACAAAAATAATAAATCTGGAGTAAATTTAAAAGCGATAAATTAATAGTTACAGCAATGCTGCTGATTAGTAATTCTGACGAAATACTAGATCGAGGTCATATACAGTGTTAGTGTTATATACTTTGCCAAAATGTGTCCATATATTTTGCATTGGTTTGTCATGAATGTAGCTATTATTTCGTAATTTAAAATTTACAATAAGACATTGGATATGTTTGTCCCATGGCTTTCCCATTGAGTCAAATTTTAGAGAATAGTAAAAAAACACATTTCTCTAATTAGGAAGTTTTACAAAAGTTTTACAGTAGTTTGGTATTTGTTTGTTTGATACGTGTTATGTAACAGTATAATTCATTATATTATAAATTTTAGACAGAATTACTTATATTCAAATAGGATCTTTGTGCCCCGTCCTACCCTATAGCAATGCTGCTTTGTTTTTGCTGGATAACTTAATTTGCTATGTAATGGCAAAAATGTTTCATACTTCAAGCTACTTTTGCCAATGTTCAACGCTGTGCCATAAAGAGAAGTTTAGGGTGTAACCTGTTGGGACTACTTAATTAAAAACGTAAAAGTGCATCTTAATTAAATGTCAATTAACATTGTAATAGCACATAAAGTTTTTATTCATATATAGCTTATTACATAAATTCATGTATGCAATAGTTTAAATATTTTTAGGACCTCTAAAATTATTTTGTTTTTGAATAAATCCATAAAATGTTTCATAAACATGTTTGAGTAAATCTCGACAAACGCTCTCTCTAAATATCTTTCGAGAGACATAGTTTGCTACAAACATTTCTAGTCTCAAGCCTCGTGTATGTAGACATAGGCCTCTTGACCCCGAATAACTGATTCGTTGTTTACAATACTAGTTCTCTTGGTCAGTAAGGACTGGTGACGACCCACACCTGATGCCAGGGTGGAAATCGATAATAATATTGAAATAGCCGTATGCATTCTGGATAATATATGTGGAACTGAATGCAGAAGAGCCATTACCACATAAACTCATATATGTGTGGTAAGCCTATTTGTATGCTCCGGCTTTGCATTTATATGACGAAATTTGATGGAGTGGCATTAATCAATTATTTGTTGATTATCATACGTTATCATCGTCGATATGTTTAAAGTAGTTATGGTTTTGGGTTTTGATATTGAACTCGGGTAATGTATTCTGGGCAATAAATTTATGAAAATATTATCTTCGTTATTTCATTATACATTAGTTTAACTAACTTTCCGAGAATAATATATTATCACAAATTTAAAAAAATTAATATATTTTATTTTTGAAAAATACTTTAGAATATTAAATTCAGTTACTATTATTTGAACTTCACTGTATCATTCATGTATTTGATTTGGGCTCGCTAGTAGATCATTGGCTAGAACGACTGGACTTGAATCAGAGGTCACGGGTTCGATCCCACTTCGAACAATAGCGAACCGATTAGAATTAATTATAGTATTAAGTCAAATCAGCCCAACAGCTTATAGGACATTCAAGTTCTAATTGCTGTTCCAAAAAAATGTAAAAAATGTTCCAGAATATTACCTAACATGTCAGACCTTTTTTTCACTATTCATCAATATTGCAATGATTGTAATAATAAAAACACATAGAGATGAGACAACTGTTTGGGTTGCCATCTATAATAAAACAAACGTCTTTTGTAAAAAAATCATTACAACAGCTCATAGATCCCATAAGTTTTGATCTCTGTTCATTATATAAAATAAAATTGAAAACATAAAAAAAACATAAAAAGTAATTTAAATTTACTTAAACAGAGAAATATAATTTGTTCATTTTTTTTCAATAATTCTCAGTTGATATTGAGTATTATTAGGTCATATTCTTCATAATATTTTTTTATATCCAAACGTATCTTGTCAGTAGTTGTAACAGTCACATATTACAAGTTTATGAATACGTAATTGATGTGATTATAAGCCAGGAAAAGTTTGTAATACATAGAATGAATAAATCGATATTTCAACATAGAAAATGATATAGCATATCATGATATACGTGATGAATAATGAATCTATTTCCTATGGAGAACTAGTAATAGGAACTGAATATATAATATATATGGCCCATAATCAGTGTATTAATTATAGAATGGTACTTTATGAATATATTTATAGATATATATATATATATATATATATATTACATTTAATGAGTGTCAACCTTAACTCTTATTTAAAATCTCGCAAATGTGGTGACAAGAAAAGCTTCCTAACATTGTTTTCTCTTGACCCAGTTATTTTGTCATGTGATATTTCATTTCTAAAAGCACATTTATAAAGTTTCTATAAGCGTTCCTTTTCATTTTAAAATATCCGATTTCACATTGTTTATTTTGTTTCAACACCACTTGTGATATGAAAGTCTTTGCGACAAAATGGATGTAATAGATATGTAAATATTTTGCTTTTAATTATAAAATATACACATTTCTTAAACAAACGTATATATATATATATATATAACTTTTTTACACCTCTTTCGCTCATTACTTTTTCACATTTTTTTTAATTAATGTTCTGGTTAAATAAATTGTCAATAAAGATTCTTAAAGATTAAATATTAGAATAAGTATATTATTTATCAGGAAAATATAATCATTAGTTACTGCTTATCATAATTATAGAGACTATGTCTATGAATAATTTGCATTTAGTATGTTAATATGTTTTGCATTTGAATTGTCCCATCATGGCACAGTATCTATGAAAATCATCAGTATATTTATTTTATAATGGGCTGATTCGCAATATATTTTGATTTATACTAATTATATCACTTGATTTAAACAGCTAGAATTTTTTTATTCTCTATTTTATTCACAACTATCTAATTAAGAACATTTAATAAATTTTGAGAATTTACAATTGTCAGCGATAAAGGGACATTGTATATATGTATACGAGTATTGTGTATCGTATAGTGACATGGTGGAAAAACAACTCAATAGTGGTGTTTCCATTCGTTATAATAATAATATTTTAATGATAATTAAATACACTTGACTATTCTCTTATAAGTAATTTCTTATAAATAATAACTAAGTTATTACAGCTTAAAATTAAGAATACTTTCTCAAATCTCGTAAAAATGCAAATGCTCAAAGAAAAAACAAATTTCTATAAGACGTATTAATGAGGTTTTTGCAATATATGCGTGTTTTAGAATGTATTATAATGTTTCTGAAAAGGAAAAGATGTGGAATTCTATATGTACAATCCTGACTCGTTGTATTTTTATTAGATATATTATCCTCTTCGCATTTATATTTTCTGTGAATCATAGAATTCCTAAGATTTCTCTTTAGGACTTTTGCCTTCTGCCATAAATCAATTCTATGCGAGCATTTATCCATTGAATCTATTACCATTTTCTCGTCGTAGCTTTATTATTATATACATCGGCCGTCACAAATAGCCCCGAGCTTGTCAAAAAGTTTTCGGGAAGGCCGTGAAATTGTTAATCCCTCAATTCGAACTCGATATCAACTCGTAAATCTTAATTATTTCCCACTCAGACAAATGTTCTAATCTGAGCGCTTAATTAACGGCATCTGTCAAACAGAATCGTTTGTAAATCGCTGTTATATTTTTATTAAAACTTATTCAATCAATATTAACGACAATTTGCGAAAATAAATCTTGGGAGATGAAAACAGACTTTCGCAAAGTGAAAGAATAAAATTTGCAGTATTTTTATTTGATAATATGACCTTTTTATAATAACACATAAACAAGTAGGCGTTATACGAATAACTTATTTTTTGTCATTATATATTCATCATACTGCTTGATATCAATCTGGCCGTGATTGCAATCTGACCTAGTACTAGTTTGCTGGCACAAGATATTAACCATACAGCACAACAGATTCAATAATTTTTTTATGAATTGGATTTTTGTCAATTAATTATTCTGCAGTCACTTATAATTTGTTTCTTAATTTTAAGTCTTTAATTATGTAGTTTGAGTTAAATATTCCACTTATTGTGAAAATTCTTAACCAGTATATTTTATATTTTTTTTATTATATTATATAACTTGTATTTTACTATCGATTAATATTTTGGTCATTTATATTGTAAAACAGTTATTTGATGAAACCAAGTTTCATATCCGTAGTTTTGCTGACACAATTCGAAAATTTTCTTGTGAATTTGATAAATGAGAAAACTTTTGAATAATGGAGTTTAAGTTATACAATATCGAGTACCCTTGTACAAAGTAGTGCTTGAAACTATTTCAAACACCATCTTCATAAACAAACTTCAAAATTAACGAATTTTATAATACAGCTTTCAAAGTTGTGTACTGTTAACTTTTTTAAAATGGGGAAGAAAATATTTTATATAACTGCAATGGGTTCAATAGCATATTGTCAATAATTGTAGGATTTTCAAAGTAAAATAGTTAATAATGATATTGTTTAAAATTCAGTATTTCTAATTTTTCTATCAATTTTCAATCTCATATTCAACTTCACTGATATTTACCCTTTCTATTAGAATTACGAATTTTTTTTTAGCAATACGCGTCAGTTCAACAATTTTTTATTACTCTCAATAGCTTACCATTATATTATAACAATCTGTTCACATGGTAGATTTATCTTAATTCAATATAATATCGAACAAAACCTCGACAGATGAGTTATGTCCAAGATAAAAAGCGTTTTGATCAAAAGCAATTCTGTTGATATATCGCGCTAATGAATACATCTCATTTTACTTCGAGCGATTATTACATTCCGTTCTCGTGCTTTCTAAAGACCTTTTGGCATTAACAAATAATAAAATAATTTAATACATATATATATATATATATATATATATATTAAATATTTGATATATATTTTAATTCCAATATTAGATATATATGAATAATTATTAATGTTTTCACATTTTTGTTTCAGAAGTTCTGCGCAAGGTTAATGATATCGTCCTAAATTGAAGGTATTTATAGATATTCATATAAATTATACATTATTGGTTTTAACATTTGTCTTTATATTTTGTTTTTATTGTATAAATTAAACTATAAATGTGATTTATTTATAACTGAATCACTTTTTATTAAAATAATCTTCTAATATTTAAATCGATAATAGAAGGATATACTAATTATTTATTATGAAAATTATATAACATTCAGGACGCATGAGAAGTTTAACTAGAAAAATCCTGATTTTTTTTTGTTTAATTCTACATTTGAATGCTTGTGACTTTTGCACGAGTTAAAATAGGAGTTTATCTTTGGATAAAAAATATCAAGTCGAGAAATCTTGTTTAAATCCGGCCCTGCAAATATTTTTAATATATCTATTTTCTTTTGCGAGATATGTACTGAAAGCCTTTCAAATTTCTACGACTTTATATACTTTAAGTCGAATAATTCGAAAACTATTTGAGATTTATATTAATATTTTTGTAAAAGCTTTCAAACTTTATATACAAATATTAATAAGCTCTGTAGATATAAGTTCACTCCAAACGATTAAAAATTTTCACAAAAAATCGCTAATTTATAGCTACAAATAGTGTTGTCAGGCTATAAATAGTGTTATCTGCGATTTATTCGCCAATAGGGAGGAATATTGAACCTAAATTGGGCCAAATTGTACTCTCTTAGGTTCTTATTCTTATGTAATATTGAAACCATTTGTCGAAAATATCTAACATGGAAAAAATTGTCCATATTAGAGAAATTTGTGCAACAGTTGATTGCATTATAATGCTCTATAACAGCTCCGATACCTAAAATCACCAATAAATAATAATTCATTTTTTGTTAAATTTAAGTCTACTATTTGCATATGTTGATGCAACTTGCCTTAAGGCAAAATGCCACTTACAAACCTAGTTTTTGAAAGAGCAGGAACGCCTGTACAGAAACAGAAACCTTAGAAAAACTAAAATCATCATCAGCTATAAATAATTTATTCAATCAGTTTTTCGTAAAGAGACGAGGAGAGTGTATATTTAATTTGAATTGTTGGCAAAAAAAATTGGAAATAGAATCAGATAGATCAAACCTTACTCTTTGGGCCGCGAAGCCACGTGAAACTTTTGCTATAATTGTATATTGAGCAGGTTGAATTATCGTGATGGTATTCTGGTATATTTTTGTTACAAAGATTTACTAAAGATTCTGATTAGCAATTTTTTTACCAATATAAAGTCGTCTAGTGTGAGAGCAATCTTAAGTTCAGCTTAGATCGTTCGCCAAGGCTCCACCTGAATGAATTATCACTACTGAAAATCCACTAACGACGAACATTATTTACACGTCCTGATTTACGACCCCCATTTCGTCTATTCAAACGTCTTTCTGCCATACCTTGATATAGGCCCGACATGTGCCTAAAACAATGTACGATCCTGATACTTAACATTCTGAGGTTAAACGGTTAACATTTATTACATCCTGTAAGTCATGATATATAAAATTAGGTGAAAATTCTTTCAACACCTGAGTGATTATATAATAATAAAAAGTAGTCTGCCCGAAGGCAGGTCCATGGTATGAATGCACCACAAAATCAATGATTTTCCTCTTCTTCCTTGTTTATTATTTCCATTACCGTTTTATTACCAATAATTAATGGTCATTAAAAACTTAATATTTGTTTTTTTATGAATTTTTCTTCCCCAACTTCTGCTTCTATGCTTCCGGATTCTGTGCTTTGGCTTTCAGTTCTCTATATTTTCTCTTCTTTCGTAAGTCATCAACCATCTGCATTCTTCTTCTTCCCAATCCATTCAGTTCTTCTATTGTGCCTTCGACGACGTCGTGTAGGAGGCACTCCTTTTTCAGAATGCGTCCGATCCAGTTTCCTTTTCTTTTCAGGACCATGCTCAGTTGAATCCTTTCTTCGCACAAATTCTCAGGACTTCTTCATTTGTTATCTTGCCAGTCCACTTTATTTTTTCCATTCACCATCAGCACCACTAGGATTGATAATATACCTTTTTATTTTTAAGAAAAGATTGTAAGATGATCAATTCAGAAAAGATGTTTAGAAATAATGATGATTGTAATAAAACCTCATAACCAGATTTAAGCTGTGTGGTTATCAAGGTGTCGCAGTTTCGAGCAAGAACTTTCAAACTTTTCTTTTAGACATAAAAGATTATGCTGTTACGAAAGAATGTAAGTCAATTTTACTTTGCCTATTTTTTTACCAATTATGTGGCAAATTTGTTGCACCGACTAAAATAAGAATTGAATCAGCCAATATATAATAAGAATTCTATACGATTATAATTTGAATTATTTTAGTATTGATTTCCTAAAACTTCAAATTTATTTGTGTATGTTATTCAAATTATGCTATAGCATTCTAATAGATGCCTGAAACACAAGTATGAATAACATACCTAACCTACTATTTAACATACACATTTTACACATTTTGATCATAGATTAGAGAAAAATTTACCAAATATTATTTTCATTTATAAAAAATTACCATTTTTCAATTACCAAATAATTAAATGGTTTAAGAGGAAGCAATTATTCAATATTTGTGTAATTATTACAACGTTACATCCCCATGCAAAATTAATTAATCGGTTAATTATAACAGAACGCGGGATTAGCATTTATAATGTAGTTATAATAATAGGTAAAAATAATTGTTTATGAAAATTTATTCATTATAATTCTTTCGCCTGTTTATACGAGTGTCGTCTATGGAAGACGACCGCATAACGCGCTGTGCACGTGTGTCGTCCATGGACGACGTGTTCTGAATCGGTCTTTTTGCTTCTAGTAATTCTAATTAATTTTCATTGTAATTTTTCATTTATAGAGGCGTAATTTTTAATTTTTTAACACATTTTTATTGATGATGATTGAAATTTCTTGAAATATATCGTTGTTTCTAGTCCATTCAGTACTAATGATGAATGAATAGTAACGCTGTTCCGTACAGCAGCGACATTTTTGCGGAAAACTATGGTAGGCTATTTGAATTCGCAACCTGCTTACTGCAACATACCATTTCAAACAGAGTTGTTACATTCCTTAGATATGTTCGTTTTCATTTTATTTATTATTGAAATTCGATTATAGATTATTCATGTACCGCAACTAAGCTTCAGATCAAACAAGTTCTAAATTCATTATACCCTGTCATAATATCTTCATCGTCTCATTTAATTAGTTTGTTGCGAAACCGAATTCAATGCAGAGAATCAGGTTGTTCGCAAACTTGGGAACATTCTGCAAGCTGTTATGTACCTGTACGGCAAATACAACAAGATCATATGAAGGGTGACGACTAAGTCGAACACCATTAGTAAACTTTTGCCTTATCGTAAATCAGTTAGTTTCTCACGACATAGGTATATTGAGTGAGCAAAACCGCGATGATCCCATCGTTATTGGATTGAATGCATTAGTTTGTATGGATAGACGAGAAAGTTGCATTGAGAAGCTAATTGGAATTTACCGGATTGCTCTTATCGCATTACGGCTTTAGTAGTTAGGAATCTGTTAAAGATAATTCCTTATAGTGATATTAGTGACTATTGGTACAAGTTTCAAAGAGACATCAAAACCAAGTATATTTGAAGTACTAATGGTACACTTGAAAAATCTTATCTTTCTGCAATTAAAATAATTTCCATAGTTTTTAAATTTTAATTTTCATTACAATATTTATTTAATCCAAGCAAAAAGAACTTAAGAAATAATCTACAATTATGTATTCCCTTTTAACCTTTTGCAAGTTTTACATATTTTCTCTCAGAAAGAAAATTAATCTTGTAATAACAGCATTTGCAATTCTTTGTGAGAATTTTATTAATGTTCCAGAAGCACAACTGGTACTTTGAAACCCATAAAAAAACTTTACTCCAAACCTGAGCAATGAAAGGAACAGAAAGCATAGTGCATAATTTACCAAACAAACCCGATGTCCGCGCGAAGCTCTATGCAGGAAGAGCAAGTCAATATTTTATTCATTTTCTTCTATAATCTGATGAAAATTTTATTATTTTGTGTAAAGAGATGAAATTTGGGTATTTTTATAAATCGACAAAGGTAAAGAATATTTGAGCACTGTGGATGAGTTCTTTTATTTTATGATTAAAAAAACAAGAGAATTGTGCCGTTTCTAAGCAAATTGCTGAGTTGGAACCTCATTTCTCTTACATGCCCTAAAACCGCGCTTATCTGAAAATTTTGGTTCACAAATGAGTTTGTTCTCATAATATTTGATTTATAAATTTTGTCAATATGATATATTTAAAATTAATAAGGAACATGTAGTGATTTTATTTTTAGTTTTGAATACAAAATATTTTTATATGATTAGTTTAAAAATGTAATTTTGTTACAAAAATTATAAATTTAATTACATAGAAGAATTATACAACTAAATTATAAAAGATCTAACAATAAAAATTATGTAACTTTGCTGAATCTTAATAATGAATTTTTAGCTATTCTTGGCAACTGATTTATCAAATTTAAATATTTTAATGTTTTGTTTCACTTATAACTGAAGCAAATGAAAGCTACAATAAAATAGTTTAAATCGTCTATATTTTAAATCTAAGAGTTTAATTTTTGGCAAAGGCAGGTTCAGTCGTTTCAGAGACACCGAGCTAAATGTGCAAAAATGGCAGTTTTTGAGAGAACTAAGCATCCGATTTGAATGATTCAAAAAACTTTTTGCTTGTGTAGACGAAACGATCGTTTTTGAATATTTTTTTTGTTTTTTATTTTTTAATTTTCAACAAAAAAAATTTTTAATATCGAAAATAATTTGAATTTCAATGTTTTCTAGCTAAAGTTTTAAACCTCACTTATATACTTTAAATAAATAATTTTAATTTTGCAATTCAGTTTATATAATTCTTATAAATATTAGATAATGTCCTTCGATTGATTAAGTTTATTTATTTACTTTTCTGTAAACATATATAAGTTAGAGTATCTATATCAA